AAGTAGAGGACTTTCCTAGCAACTTTTCTTGGCATGTAAATTAGTTAACTGTTTAAAACTTGTTTTCTACGGGGTGGTAAACAGATTACTGAACTAGAAAGGAAGAACTCAAGAAAATAAAGTCATAGCAGAAAAGTTAAATAAATTATTTGTTTTGGTATTTATTACAGATGATCACAAGGAAGTTCCTCTGCAGGAGTTCTTTAGGGGATGGGTCTCAAATGGCACTGCAGTTGAAAACTTCTTAGAGCAGGTCTAAAAGCCAGTAACATTCTAGTCTAGTCTTCTAAAAGTATACAATAGATCCTCTCCAGAGGAACGTCTGCGAAATCTGATCTACATGAGATCATGCTCCAAATCCAAGCAAGTGGCAAGTTTGTTTATTGACCAGAAATAGACTCATATTTAAACAAATAACAAAACACACAAAAGTACCATAACTCTGCATTACCTTTCTTTAAAGACCTGCAGTCCACGAACCAACCCTTCAAGGCAGAGAAGATCATAACGGTTGGCAGGAACATCAATTTTATAGAGAACAGTATCAGATGCACCCTTTGCCTTTTCTTCACCTTTTTCTTTACTTATTATGTCTTTCTCAGATGTCTGAAATTAAGCAAAAAAATGTTTTTAACCTGAAATACCTTAACATTGCCAGGAGTATCACAGTGAGATAATACAATAGGAAAAATTGTATTAATTACAAGTCTAACAGTGTAAATTGGAATTATACAGCAAATAAACATACCAGATATGACATAAAATCAAATTCTTTCTCGGATTCAGAGATTGTAATTCATGATACCAAAAGAAAAATTCACTATTAGAACTTGAATTTTAAAAAATAATACTATAGAAGCAAGAGTCTCCAGGCTAGCAGATCCCAGTAGAGAACTGAGACCTTATTTTTGGCAATAGATCAGCAAATGACTCGTCATATCAAGTGTATTCTGAAATAAAGCGTAACATATGATGTTCAGATGTCTTTAGATAAACAGCATTAAAAGATCAATTAATTCAAATTAAAAAGCAAAAGCAAAACAGATCTACTTGAAAAGATTTCCAGGGATACTTGTAAGGGCTAGCAAGTTTTCACAGGTACAGAATCTAAATCAAAACCTGAAATATAAATTAGTTGCAACTTAGGTAACAACGTCTGGGACAAACACGTTTTTGTGGCTATTGCACAGAGGAACGCAAGCAAAACAAGGCCAAACAGATCTTGTAAAATAGGTTCAATATGTGGTCTGTGGCCACATTTAAATAAAATGGGGCCAGAGACTGAAGACCAGGTGGCACAGACTGCTGACCTCCACGAAGTACAGCAATGTGCCATCTTGGGGTCTCTTGCTTCCAAGACGGTAATTTTTGGATGTCTGGGATTTTTTCAGATTCAAAACAGTCCATTACAACAGTATTTTATAACAAGAACCTAAAGGTATGTGTTACATGTTCTTCCCTGTGGTATGGAGAGATATGAGGATATTTCAGGACAAAAAGTACTGCTGAAAGACTGTACAGGTCAAGGGGACATTCAGGTCTCGTCCACACTGCACTGGTTTTTCAGAATACCCAGGGCATGGCATCCTCCACACCCCAGAGAATATGCTGGAAATAACGTGGTACAAACTCTGACATAAATGCTGTCAGTACACTACGTCTACTGAATAAGTGTCAAATAAAAACGTTTCTTACAATTTCATCAAGCTCCAAACCAAACTCGAAGCAGAGCTCATCAAACTCTTCATCAGCTGTGAAGAAAGAAGGTGAATTTTGGTTAATAAGCAGACCTCAGATTTTTAAAGTAATTTTTGTTTTGAATGTTTTCAAACAAGATAACAAATGCTATTTTGAAAAAAAAAAGAGAAGTCATTTGAAGAATTTTGCTGGTATTTGCATCCAAGTAGCCGTTTCTTTTGTACATACTGCATTTATTGACACATTATTCTTACAGTCACAGCAGGGCTTCTAGTGCTGGAGCCCAATGTCACGACCAGCTCCTCAGACAAGTTTGTCAGGGTAACTTTGGCCAGAACAGATTAAAAAAAAAAAAAAAAATCCCCCCAAAACCAACCAGAGACAGACAAAAACCAACAATCTCAGGCACTAGAGCATGCCCCGAAGTGCCATTTCTACCCGTTTCTTAAATACCTCCAGGGATGGCGACTCCACCACCTCCCTGGGCAGGCTGTTCCAGTTCCTGACCTCTCTCTCAGTAAAGCAATTCTTCCTAATATCTAATCTAATTCCCCCCTGCCGCAACTTCAGACCATTGAAAGCAGGAGGGAGGAACTGGAGAGCTTCTGCCAACAGCTACTTTTTTCACTCAGTTGGCTTGTCACACAGAGGTTGCATCAACCACTTACGACATGTGAGTAACACAACCCCAATCGGAAAATGGAGATTTGCATCCCTGTGTCTGTAGAGCCTGCCAGCTCCAGCGCGGGCAGGACAACCTGCTGCCCGGCCCCAGGGACTCCTTCAGCCAAACCAGCACTTCTTAAAGTCGCCTTCCTAAAGGGCTGGGGAAGGAGGCCTGAATGAACCTATGCCACCATCCAGCACGACCTGAACAGGCTGGAGAGCTGGGCAGAGAAGAACTTTATGAGGTTCAACAAGGGCAAATGTAAGGTCCTGCACCTGGGGAGGAAGAACCCCAGGCACCTATACAGGTTAGGGGTGGGTATTCTGGAAAGCACTACTGAGGAGAAGGATCTGGGAGTCCTAGTGGACAGCAAACTTGCCATGAGCCAGCAATGTGCCCTTGTCTCCAAGAGGGCCAATGGAATCCTGGGCTGCACAGGGAAGAGTGTCGCGGGAGGTCATTCTCCCCCTCTACTCTGCACTGGTGAGGCCACAACTGGAATTCTGCATCCAGTTCTGGGCTGCCCAGTTCAAGAGAGACAGGGAACTACTGGAGATAGTCCAGCGTAGGGTAACTAAGATGATTAAGGGATTGGAGCACCTTCCTTATGAGGAAAGGCTCAAAGAGCTGGGGCTCTTTAGCCTGGAGAAGAGAAGGCTGAGGGGAGACCTTATTAATGCTTACAAGTATCTAAAGGGTGGGTTGAAGGAGGATGGAACCAGACTCTTTCCAGTGGTTCCCAGTGACAGGACGAGGGGCAATGGGCACAAGCTGGAGCATGGGAAGTTCCACTCAAATAGGAGGAAAAACTTCTTTGGGGTGAGGGTGACAGAGCCCTGGAACAGGCTGCCCAGGGAGGTCGTGGAGTCCCCTTCTCTGGGGACCTCCAAGCCCCTCCTGGATGCAGTCCCGAGTGATGTGCTCTGGGCAGCCCTGCTTTGGCCGGGGAGTTGGACGGATCCAGTTCTGGGCTGCCCAGTTCAAGAGAGACAGGGAACTACTGGAGATAGTCCAGCGTAGGGTAACTAAGATGATTAAGGGATTGGAGCACCTTCCTTATGAGGAAAGGCTCAAAGAGCTGGGGCTCTTTAGCCTGGAGAAGAGAAGGCTGAGGGGAGACCTTATTAATGCTTACAAGTATCTAAAGGGTGGGTTGAAGGAGGATGGAACCAGACTCTTTCCAGTGGTTCCCAGTGACAGGACGAGGGGCAATGGGCACAAGCTGGAGCATGGGAAGTTCCACTCAAATAGGAGGAAAAACTTCTTTGGGGTGAGGGTGACAGAGCCCTGGAACAGGCTGCCCAGGGAGGTCGTGGAGTCCCCTTCTCTGGGGACCTCCAAGCCCCTCCTGGATGCAGTCCCGAGTGATGTGCTCTGGGCAGCCCTGCTTTGGCCGGGGAGTTGGACGGGATGGTCTCTGGAGGTCCCTTCCAGCTCTGACAGTTCCGTGATTCCGGGAAACACGGCGTTACGCGTCTGCTGTGCCTGCTCCCAGCCCTTCCCTCTCCGCCTTGATTTAACCGGTCCCCGACACAGACCGCGCCGCTCCAACCACACACGGCGGCTCGGGAACGCGAGGTTCTGCCTCCCGGAGGGATCCGGGCCCCGACAGCACGGCCCTGGGCCGGGGCCGCGGGGGAAGACACACGGCTTTGCCTGGCAGGCCGGGGGCTGGGAGCACTCCCGATACCGGCACCGCCGCAGGTCCGAAGCCTGGGCCCCCGGCCCGGCGCGACTCCCGTCCCCCCCGCCCCGCGGCACTCACTGTAGGTCCTGCCCAGCGCCTGGAAGAGCAGGTCCCGCTGCACGCTGACAGTCGGCATGGCGGCGGCCGCCTGTGCCCGCACCGCGCCTGAGCCACCGCCAGGCCCCTGCCGCGCCGCACCGCCCGCCGCGCTGCCTGAAGGTCTCCCGCCTTTCTTCCCGCCCGCATCCGTCTCTCCCCTCGCTCCCCGCCGCGACGGTGCGCCGACAGCCCTGCTGAACGGTTATGAGAGCGGCTCGGCCCGTCTCCTGCGCTCAGAGGGAAACTGGCAGCGCGCCGAGCACAGGCAGCGCGGCGGGCAGCTACCGGCGGTGACATCTGTCGGCCGGGGGGCCTCCGCGCCCTCCCAGCGGCCTGAGGCGGGCGGGG